CTAATTGATTTTAACCAATTATAGAATCAAATAATTAACCTGGACCCTCGGACATTTTAATGAGAATGTCAAGTCGAATTATTTCCTAAATTACGGGACTAAAGTGAAATTTAGCATAAAGTGGAGGCTCTAATATTAATCCTAATTGATTTTAACCAATTATTGAATCGAATAATCAACTTGGACCCTCGGGCATTTTAATGTGAACGTCAAATCAAGTTATTCCCTAATTTAAAGGAAGTTCGAGGACTAATTTCAAAGAGTTCTAAAGTTTAGGGACTATATCTAAAGAAGTCTAAATTCAAAGACTAAATCTAAATAGAAAGTACTAATTAAGGACTAAATTAAAAGAATCTAAACCTAAAAGTACCATTATGCTAGGGCTAACATGTAATAGATTAAAACAAAATTAAATTAAAATAATCATACATTTCAATGGCTAAATAAATAAAAGGCTTAAATCCAATGAAATTAAAGCATAAGGGTTTAATAGGAAAATGGTAATTTATAGGGACTAAAAAGGTAATTTTATTTTATTTTACCCTAATAACATAAAATGTGAAATAACGCATTTGGTATCCTAATTAGAACTAAAGTAGCAAATAAATCTACCATGGGGCCAAATTATAAATTCAAGTCAAAATTAATGACTAAAAACCTACAGTTCTATTTTATTTCCACCTAATAAATTAAAGAAACTAAAGGAAAAATAACAAAATTGTATATATTATAATTTTAAAAATAATATATAATTTTAAAAATTGTATATAATATATACAATTTTAAAAATAATATATAATTTAAAAAATAGTATATATTTTATATATTATATAATTTTTAAAATAATATATAATTTAAATAAATAGTATACATATAATTCTGAAAACAATATATATATATATATATATTATAATATTTTAAAAATGGTATATAGTTTAAATAAATAGTATATATTATATATAATTTTGAAAACAATATATGTAGTATACATTTGTCAACACTGTTTTTCATCCGGGCGGGGAAAAGAACGATACCGACTCAGAGGTTTTTTATTTGAAAAGTGTTTCGAAATGTGATGAGTCACCATCAATCATTTAAGGTGCGATTGGAACACCATAAAAACTGGGTGATTTTAATAAAATATTTTATTTTTATCAAAATACCGAGTTTTAAGGTATGCGAAATCCATAAATCGGGTTTGAGAGTCAGTTACGCGTGGGGAATGATTAGTACCCCGACAAGTGCCCAAAAATTGGTGCCTAGTTGATTACCCTATATTTAAAATTGAAAATTTTGAGTTCGATCTTTATTTAATTTAAAAAATAAGTACAAATGCAAAAAGTTGAAAAGGGTATTCGTTTATTAAGGTCGATAGCATTCGCCCCCTAGCATAAACACGGGAGATCAGCTACTGTGCCTGATAATCGGACATTGCCTTAATTTTAAAAATTATGATGCGATTTTGAGAAAATTGTTGACTTATTTCGGGAATCACTAGTAGTTACCCCCTGAGCATGATTGCGGGAGATATACTATTAATTTCCTAATAAGTGAACATTGCCTTAGGGTTAAAAATAAAATGCGATCAAACAAATTTTATTTATCCCAATTAAACTAAAAGTAAATTAAGGCTTTTTCTAGCTTAAAGTGTCAAATTATGAAAGTTAAAGGACCTAAAGGCTCAAACCTAGAAGTGTAGGTTCTAATATTAACGCTATTTGATTTTTAAACTGATTATTGAATTGAATAACCGAGGTGGTCCCTTGAGCATTTACGCGAGGGTCGACTCGGATTAATCCCTAAATTAGGGGGACTACATTAAAATCTATCTAAAAGTGGAGGCTAACCTATTTAATTATGTCAAAATTAAAATATTAATCGAAGTTCGGGGACTAAAAGGCTCAAACATTAATTGAAAAATTCTAAAGTTAGGGGGCTAATTAAAAACCTAATTATTATATAAATTATTAAACTTAAAGTGTTTTTAGAAATTATTAATTATTAATTAATTTTAGAATCGAGCAATTGACTCGAGTAATCGGGCATCTTATGTGAAAATTCGACTCGAATTGCTCCCTAATTAAACTAGAGTGTTGTCCTAATTGCTAAGTTTGATTCAAATATTAACCTAATTTAAACTAAATCTAAGAATTAAAGCCATGAAATATCAAAACAATTAATAAACATAATTAAAATAAGGGTAAAGTATAGTAATGGTCACTGAACTTTTCTAAAGCTTTCACTTATGTCCCAAACTTTTAAAACTTGCAATACAGTCCCCAACATTTAGTATATTTTCAATATAGTCCCCCAATATTTAGTCCATTTGTAATATGGTCCCCAACGTAACCGACCGTTTGACGTCGTTACACTGCAAAGTTAGATTATAATTTCCCATGTATCCCCGACTGAAAAGTTACGCTGGAAATGAGAAGAGAGAAGCGAAAAAGGAAATTTGAGATCGAAAAGAAATTTGGGATTTAGAATGAAATTGAGGACTGTGTTGCAAGTTTTAAAAGTTGGAGACCTAAATGCAAGCGCCTGAAAAGTTCAGTGACCATATTGCAAATGTACTAAGGTAGTGTACCAACGTCAAACAAACGGTTACGTCGAGGACCATATTGCAACTGGACTAAATGTTGGGGGATTGTATTGCAAACGAACTAAATGTTGGGAGATTGTATTGCAAGTTTTAAAAGTTGGGAGGCCTAAATGAAAGCTTTAGAAAAGTTTAGTGACTATTACTATATTTACCCTTAAATAAACACTCTACATTTATTGTTTTAGAATATTTTGATTTCAATGTTCATTGTAGGATAAAATTATCCTTCCGTAAATGAAAATGGATTCAGTAAATGATCAAAACTTTATAGTCAATAAAAAATCAACGCTTTAAAATATGAGTTTTTTCTATCTTAAAATAAAATATTAGGGGTTAAAATACTCTAAGAGAAAAGAGAAATAGCTAAAGTGATTATTTAGAGTCATATTGAAGTATATTTTCCTTAAAAAAAATATTGAAGACCAAATTACTAAAAAAATAGAAATCTAGTGACTATTTAGTAAAAAAAAATTGAAATTAGGTTAAAATAAATATTTAGGTTAAGGGCATGTTTGTGGGTGATGCAAATAACTCCACTACTCGATTTCCAAGACTGTTGGAGTTTTCATATTATTCTCATTGAGGAGACAAAAAGTGAGCAGAGACGGCGTTTGTTTTGTGTGTATATGAATGGGCTTGTTGGCTGCCATTTTAGGGTTTTATCATTTATAAATGAAAAATATGTAGGGTAAACTATAAATTTAGCACCCCAACTATTATTTTTGTTCCATTTTGATCATATAATTATTTCCCAAAATCATATTTAATATTTAGTTTTAGTTTCATTTTGGCCATCCACAGTTAAAAATTAACGATTATATTGACGTGTCATCGTAAGATAATGATACGTAATCATTGAAAAAAATAAAAATATCACATCAATAGTTTTGTTAATTGTTAACGTTGAGTGACTGAAATGAAGCCAAACCATATCGTTAGGCATAATTTTGAAAAAATAAATAGTTAAGTGACCAAAATAGAGCAAAAGTGATAGTTGGAGCACTAAACATGCAGTTTACACCAAAATAACACTCGGCTCAAGATAAAAGTGTGTTCATGTTAACTTTTTAGTTTTATTACCCTATTATTGATAGTAGGGTAAAAGGATACTACTTTGGTCAGTCATCGTCTTGCTTGCTGTGCACCACAATACACCATTCCCAATGGGGCTTAAAATAAATAACAAATAACAAAAATAAAATCTTTGAATATCTCAATCTGTGTAATGCATTGATGGAAACTGTGGAAGAAACCTCGACCAAGATGATTTTAAATAGAGTTTGTAGTCATGTTTATGGTCGTGTTGTATTTATTATGATTGTAGATATAATAGATGTTATTGTGGTCATTACGGATATCGCGATCATAATTATTTTTTCGAAAGAACTGATTTTTTTAAATAAAAAAATTTGTGTTTTTTTAAAAAAATAAAATAACGGAATAGTACTCTGCTATTGACCGTGATCCGTTAAATTATGGCCACGATCCACTACTATTGGTGTGATCCCACTTAACACCGTTATTTTTCGCGATAGCAGTTTCGGACACTATCGAGATATAATAACCGCAATACCTCTATCCAGCCGCTATTTGAAACCTTGAGAAGGAATTATGATAAAATTATGAGGTTAAATTACTTAATTTAGAATCGACAAGAATTTTAAAAAATAAACAAAAAAATATAAATTAAAGTTTAATTTATTTGATATCAAAACTGATAAAGATATAAAAAATAATTAAATCTGAAGTTTTTAGTTAAAATGTACTTTTAATCATCTTAAAATCAATATAAATTTAAAAAGATTTAATTATAAAATTAAATTTATAAATTATATATATTTTTTCAAATAAGTGTCTAATTTTTTTTCGATTCATTCAGGTGTCTAACGTTACAAGAATATCATTTTAGGCATCTAATGTTGCTCTCATCGATCACGTAGTTTCATCCCTAGCAGCTACTCTTGTATTTGGTTTCAACCAGTGACAGATTCATCCTTAGTCTAGAGTAGACATAAAATCTAAATTTTTTTCGATTATTTATTTATTTTATTGTTTGTGTATCCTAAAATTTTACTTGGGTTCACCTCATTAAAATATTTTATGTTTAAAAGAAAATTCATGTCCACAATGGGTTAAGTCATAGTTTTTTCTTCTCCGATGAACGTATTTTATGCGGACAATGGGTGTTCAAAGTTTGCCTTTTGGTTTCAAGATTAGGGTTATGAATGGATAGACTTTAGATTAATCTTTTATTTTCAGGTTTAAAGAATTATATTTATAAAAATATTAATATGAAAAATGATAGTGGTATCATATTAAAAAATTAATTATAGAGCAAAGTTCTGAGAGGCTAAAGACACCAATATATCATACGGTCTCCAAACAGAAGAAGCTTAAATTGGCAGAATGAAGAACATCATCACTATTAATGCTCGTCTTTTCTTTTAGTTCCACATTGGATTGGTTTAGCCACACCAAACATCCCAAGTAAGGATCATTAATTGCATTCTTGAAGAAACAATGTTATTAAAAGCAAAGAAAACAAAAGCAAATACCTCTAATAACCGCAACAAATCTCCCACCTTCCGGGACCACAGAGCCTCTTCCAATCTCCATCTACTAACTTTGTTTCTTTCTTATCTTCTTATTTTTTATGACCCTAATTATTCCAATTGTATATACGTCCACCATACCAGTAAACTTCCTACATTGTGCATATTACACTTTTATCCAATTTTTTGGGGCGGGTTTCAGGATTATGATTATGAACATTGATCTCTACAACAAGCAACCATGTCATATCGATGATCTCCCATGATTTACCTGGCTCTTGGCTTGGGGTGGTCCATGAACTTCTCCTGCTCTGTAAGCGCATGGCGGAAATGACATCGATGCCCATAGGGACAGACATCACCAGCAAGGACCATCCTGCAAACCTCAGTCTTGTAGCGAGGGTGGCGGATTACGGGTCGGAGCTCTTCAATGCCGTGAGCGAATTGACAGTGATCACCATAAGGACAGGCACCAGTCTCTTGCCATTTGTTGCAGAGTTCAGTCTTGAACATGCCTTGGTTGTACACTTCCAACTCGAGCGGCTCTTCTTCCTTCTTACCTCCCTGGACATACACCTTCTGCTGTACATTCACCTAAATGATTAGTCAACTATTCCATTTTAAGCACTTAAGAAGTACAAGAATCAAATGTAAACCTATTACTGTTCTTCATATACACAGGTATCATTCCCCTTTCTAATGTACGACTGGTAGCAACAAGGCTGCAGGGATAATAGATGCAAAAATACATCAATCTTAAACGTCTAAGTAAATTTATTGTTAAGGGTAACAAGTTTGGAACTATTTCACTAGATTTCAGTTAAGCAAATTTATTGGCAGGAACTGTAAAGATCAGTTTTACTCGCTTTATAAATTGTCTAAACTAAGCAATTATCATCCTATACTGCTAAAGCTGGCATCTAACAATTGAGTCTTAGTTGGTTTATTGCTTCATTGCCAAGCCAAAGAAGGCATTCACTAAATTAAATAAAAATAAAAAGGGAAACTATTGCTATTACTATTAAACAGCTACATTTAATATTTGATACAATTTGAACCTATAAAATTTTATATATTTTCACTAAATCATATAATAACACATCATTCAAAATTTTATTAAAGAATTAAACTCAGTTAATTATATTTTGAATCACGTGTTATATCAGATTTTTTTTCACTTATTAAATATAAACGGTAACTGTAGGAACACAAAATATACTAATTGAAATAACGAATTTGCATCCAAACAGAGTTTAAAAATTAAAACAAAAGGGAAATTACTCACTGCTCCGCTGAGTTGAGAGGTATTTCCGGTCCGAGTAGGTCCACAAGCTTTACCACGATGACTCACTCCAGCTTGATTCATCATCTTCAGGTATCCATTAGACCTAACAGAAATGCTCTTAGGCAACATAACCCGCTCCACGTCCACCGCGCCTTCCATCACGCTTGTCGGACTCTCATCAGAAATATCCGCCTCTCCGACGCCGCCACTACCGAGGCAAAGTCCTCGCAAGGCGTTCACCAACTCGAACGGCGTGGAATTGTAATCAGAAGACGAGAAGTGGTTCTGAACAGAGGCTTGGATCAGCGCGCTGAGTTGCTTGTTGAGGTCTAGGTTGACAGATCGAAGCGAGGAATTCTCTTGGCGGAGAGCCTCGGCTTCCTTTGCAGCTTCACGGAGACGAGTGAGGCAGAGGTTGTGGCGGTTGATCATATCTTGATGTTGTTGCATGAGGATGCGAGGATTGTAAAGAGCGAACATAGAAGCGTTGGAAGTGGAGGATGAGGTGGTGGTGGAAGAGTAAACTCCGTCGCTCTGGTGATCATTCGGTTGCTTGCCTCCGAAGTCTCCATAGACTGTTGAAAATCTGTCGTCTTGCATCTGCAAAATGAATAAACTGAAGTTGAAAAACACGTTTAGAAATAACAGAAAACAGCGATCGAATGAGTAAATTTCATTGAAATTGAGAGAAAGATTTTACGCTCACCGGAACCTTAAATGTTCTCTTCAGGTCAGAGAAAGAGAGAGCGAGTGAGAATTAATTTTTACTTTTTTGTTTGGCAAAAGGGAAAAGAGAAAAAAAGAAAATAAAGAAAGAAAAAAAAAGAAAGAAAGAAAGGGAAAGAATGGAGCGAACTTGAGAAATGGATGACGAAGGAGACTGGGTTTATAGCAAGTCTAGGAAATGGAGGGAAAAGGGGAAAGAAAAAGTGGATTTTTCTAAAACCGTTTAAACAGAATTACCCTTCCTCATGTACTTATAGTTTCTCCACCAATACATTCCTTTTACATTTTCTTAAGGGTATATAAGTCATTTAATTAATCTAAATTTGTGTCATAGTATGATGATAAACGTCGTTGGATGATGTTGGACCGTTTGATTTCATCAACATATTTTGTACGGTCAACAAGCTTGTAGAAGATAATAGTGGATGGAAGGTCATATTTTCCAGAAATTTTAAAATTTTATATAATTTAAAAAATTTTATATTTTTTAATTAATATTTTGATTTTATATAATATAAATATTTTTAACTTTTACTTTATAATATGAATTTTAAAAAATACAAATCTTTTAACATAAAATTATACATTATTCCTTTATTAGAGAAAATTCGTTGGAGAGATTCAAGGAGAGCTAAAAGTTAAGTTTTGCACAAATGCGGTATTAGTTTCGTTGATAATGGTTCTGTCCCGGCCGTCTTTCGGTTGGGTCCGGAATTAGGTTTCGACTTGAATAAATGAGTTAGAGTCGTCACCGATCATTTTAAAAATAGTTAGGTGGATCGTATACCATCTTACTTGATCTGCGTTTTACCAAAAAAGTATCAGGTTCGAGAGTCGGTTACAGTAAAGGAAGGATTAACACCCTTATACTGTTCTTTCGGTACCAGCTAATTTGTCGGTTGTCTTAGTAGCGAAAATTAAAATTTAAAAAAACTATTCAAATTACTTACCTATGATTGGTTAAAATTTCTCTAAAAAAAAGTCGAAAATGTTAGAAAAAAATAATAAATAAATGTTTAATAAATCAAAAAACATAAAAATCAAAGAAAAAAATAAAATAGAAATAAAAAATAGAAAAATAAATAAATAAAAATAAATCAAAGATAAAAAAAGATAAAAATAAAAAATAAATAAACCAAAAAATAAAAAGTTAAATTTTAAAAGTAATAAAATAAAAACAATGAGAAATAAAAAAAATAAAAAATTAGATGATCAAATTGAGACAAATTGAAATTAATGGATCAAATTGGTACTAAAAAATGAATTGCAAAAGAAAAATAAGAAGTTAGGGGGGACAATTTGCAAAATATATGAAATGTAAACAGGGATTAAATTGAATAAAATGAAAATTCATAGACAATTGAAATAGGTGACCAAAATGAATTACGCTTCAAAAGTCCAGGGACTACGAAAATAATTTAAAAATCTTTTAATTGCAACATGGTCCCTCCCTTATAAATAGGCAAAAAAATCATTTTAACCAAAAACCAAAAAAAATCTCAAAAAATCTCCCAAATCCTCTCCCCTAAAATCGTAGTCCACCCCAATCCCGATTCTAATCTCAAAACAACAAAATCGGTTCTAGATCAGGGTAGATCTAGCCTAAAAGTCACGGGCTTTTACCTTTTGGGGCGAAAATCCCCTCGTTTTCGGGTGACCGTTAGCGATTCACAGCCGTGCAGCCCCAAATCATATCCTCAGATTTTTGTGTTTTTCCTTGCACTTTCGAATAGTTTTTTGCTTTGTTTTTTGTTGCTTCGAATGGTTTTCTTTTTGTTGATGGTTCTCTGATGTTTGTTTGTGTTTCGATTGTTTTCGATGCTTATGGTTATCCGACTATTTTTTCTCCATTGGTTGTGCTTTTCACCTTGGCTTTGCAGGGTATTTATAGGCCCTATCGGGGTCGTTTTCGATTGCTTTGGGGTTACTCCCGATTATCTCGGGGTTGTTCTCGGTTATCTAGGGTGGTTCAGTCTGAGTAGCTCCGATTTTTGTGCTACACATAGCTGAAATCTTCGGTCGACTGGTAATATTATCGGCGCGTGATGCCTACGCGCTGCTGTCGGTGGTTTTTGATCTTCTGGAACCTTCCTGGATTTGATCTTGACCGTTGGATTGGGTCATATCCAACGATCCAGATCTGACTGCGCAAGTGACTTGGAGATGAAACCCTAATAGACTCTGTTGGGTTGAACCAGGTCTACTGGGTCAGGCTATCCTGTTGGGCCCTGCTTCTGGACCTGGACCAAAAAATAAAATAGGATTAATAAAAAAGTATCTAATAAATAATAATAATAATATACGATATATATTTTCAAAAATATTTCCCCAAAACCATATAATATATATATTTTCAAATAATATTTTAAAACTATATATTATATATATATTTTAAAAATGTTTTCAAAATTATATATTATATTGTTTTCAAAACGTTTTAAAAACTATATATTATATATATATATTTCAAAATGTTTTTAAAAACCATATATTATATATATATTTAAAATGTTTTTTAAAAAACCATATATTGTATAAGTTTACAAAAACTATATAATATATACATTTTCAAAAAATAGTTTTCAAAAACTATATATTATATATATATATATTTCAAAATGTTTTCAAAACTATATATTATATATATTTTCAAAAACTGATTTTTAAAAAGTATATTATATGTTTTCAAAAACCGTAAAAAATATTTTCAAAAATATTATACTATATTAATATATATAAATAAATAATAAATAATAAAATAAAATAGAAAATCAGACGAAAATAAGTGTATACAGCTGCCTCTCTTTGTCCTTTTTCGTGGAAAGAAAAATAGGACAAAGATAGAATGACACAAATTTTCGTTCGGTATAAAGAGGTCATTGAGTCTAATATCCTCATTTGAAATTGACTTTGATATTGCAATTAGGAATAACTCCATGTTAAAACTGAGTTGTGGATGACTTCTCCGATGCTTGTTTGTGTTTCGATTGTTTTTTATGCTTGTGGTTCCCCGACTGTTTTTCCTCCATTGGTTGTGCTTTTCACCGTGGCTTTGCAGGGTATTTATAGGCCCCTCATCAGGGTCGTTTTCGATTACTTTGGGGTTGCTCCCAATTATCTCGAGGTTGTTCCCGATTATCTCGGATGATTCAATCCGAGTAGCTCCAATTTTTGTGTTGTACATCATTGAAATCTTTGACCGACTGGTAATATTATCGGCGCGTGATGCCCACACACTGCTGTCAGTCGTTTTTAATCTTCTAGAACCTTCCTGGATTTGATTTCGACTGTTGGATTGAGTCAGATCCAACGGTCCAAATCTGGTTGTGCAAGTGATTTGGAGATGAAACCCTAATGGACTCTGCTGGGCTGAACCGGGTTTGTGGGGTCAGGCTACCCGGCTGGACCCTGCTTTTGGACCTTGGACTGGACCTGGACTAAAAAATAAAATAGAATTAATAAAATAAAAAACATACAATAAATAATAATAATAATAATAATAATAATAATATACTATATATATATATTTTCAAAAATATTTCCCCAAAACCATATAATATATATATTTTCAAATAATATTTTAAAACTATATATTATATATATTTTTAAAAATGTTTTCAAAATTATATATTATATAGTTTTAAAAACTTTTTAAAAACTATAATGTATAAATAAATTGATTTTAAATATAATTGATTATTTATTTAATGTTAAGGATTTAGGTATAAATTATTTTAAAATTATAGAAAATTATTCTTTCTTTAATTATTATTTGATCAATTTCTAAATTTTGTATATATTAAATTTGAGATTTTTTATTAAATAACGCTTAACGAACCAATTGTTGTCACTATAACCTTCAATCTCCGATGATATCATACTGATAAAAATAAGTTTAGATCTTCGATAATATAACCTTCAATCTTTAATATTTTTTACTATTTTTACTATTTCTATAATATTATATATATTTTTAAAATTTATATTTATTATAAATTTTAAAAATTTTAAAATATTTAAAATTACTTTTATATTTTTATATATTATATTAAATTAAACCCCTTAACATCAAATAAACTAATCACTAATTAATTAATGAAGTGATTTGAAATAACCCTTAACATCAAATTACTTTTTAATCCTTTTTCTATTCAAATAACTCTTAACATTAATGAAGTGATTTGATTAATTAAATTTTCAACTATAGAGATTTAATTGAAATGAATTTTCTTTTAAAATTTAATTAATTTTTTTATTTAAAACCTCTTTGTACCATAGGATTATTGAATTAGAATGAAAATTTATATCAAATTTTCGATAAGATTTTAATTTGATTTTTATAATATATAACATAAAACTATTTAAATTTACATATGTATTTATGATATTTATATATACATTTTGATAGGTCAGTAATTTGTTTCATATACCTTTTAAATTATTAATATATTTATTTATTTATTATTGATTATTATTTTATATAATTTTGAATTGTAATTTTCAAATAAAATACATACCATCACGATTCGATTACCAAGAGAGCCCCTAACATCTGACGGTGAATGTTTATATCCAACAGAGACTATAATTCACTCGTTTATATGACACAGTTAATAAATATAAACATTTTTGTACAGAAATAAATATAAACATTCTGGTTTCAATATTAGGGTTTTGACAAAAGTTTAATGAAATAATAAATAACGTTTTTATTTAATGTACTAATTTTATATAATTTTATGGGTTAATATTTAATTAATTGAAGGTGTAAAATTTTATGTGTAGTTACTGAATGAGGTGACACACATCATCAAATATTTTAAAAATTAAACTTATTAATTTTATTTTAATAATGTATATGTATAAATTATAGGATAAAATATATATTTAGTCACTCAATTATCATTTTGGTTATTCGATTATTTTTTAAAATCATCACAAACATTGTATTTTGGTTTCATTTTGGTCACTCGCCATTAAAAAACTAACTGTGATGTTAACATATCACCATAATGTAATGTCAACGCCATTATTGAAAAAAAGATACCACTAGCTTTAGTTCTGTGA